ATTTAATTAATTGGGTGTCATCCTCTGCGTTGAATGATCAGGTTCCTCATTCCCTGGTGCACCGTACAGAGCCCTTATATGTTGTTTCCCCTTGTATCTTTGGATGTACTTGTTTTATTCATGATTTGTTCTTAGGTCATGATAAAATGTTTGCTTGTGGCATCAAATGTATTTTTATGGGCTACTACCGCGTTCAAAAGGGATATCGGCGTTACTCTCCTTCTATACATCATTTCCACACATCTGTAGATGTTACATTCTTTGAGGATATACCATATTTTCCTAACTCATATGTCAATGAAACTAATTTAGATCAAGTTTTTCCTATTCCTTATTTTGAGTCGGTTGAGTCCAGACATTTATCGTCTAGGTCACCCATTGTTAAGATGAGTCTCCACCTCTGTTGAACTGGTATGACATTACCTATGAGAGAAGGTTTATACCATATGATTCAGCTGTTATTCCAAGCACCTCCACCCATGCTCCCGCCCCGTCTCCTAACATACCCATTACCATCTGTAAAGATAATCGTTTAAACTGTAACCCTTATCCTATTTATAATTGTGTGTCTTTCCACCGGTTATCTCATATCTATTGTGTGTTTGTTACTGCACTTGCATATATTTCTATTCCTAAAACTATTCAGGAAGCTTTATCCCATCCAGGTTGGAGATAGGCAATATTTGATGAAATGTCAGCTTTAGAATCTAATCATATTTGGGAGTTTGTTCCTCTCCCACTTGGAAAATTTGTTGTTGGTTGTAGGTGGATATTTAATGTTAAGGTTGGTTCTGATGGACAGACAGATCGATTGAAAGCTCGCTTAGTGACAAAAGGATACACTCAAGTACCCAGTCAAGATTATAGTGATACTTTCTCTCTTGTTGCAAAGATGACAATTGTTCGCCTCTTTCTAGGCATGGCTGCCATGAAATAATGGCCTCTATTCCAATTGGATATCAAGAATGCATTCTTGCATGGTGACTTGGAAGAGAAGATTTACATGGAGCAACCTCCTGGGTTTGTTGCTCAAGGGGAGTGTAATTGGGTATGTAAATTATACAAGTCTTTGTATGACTTGAAACAACCACCTTGGGCATGGTTTGAAAGATTTGGTAAAGTTTTGCAATAATTTGGGATGAACCGATGTGAATCAAATCACTTTGTTTTCACCAAATGCTCCTCTAATAAATATACTTATCTAGTGGTTTATGTTGATAACATTGTACTTATAAGTGATGATTTTGAGGGTATCAAGGCTTTAAAATAACATTTATTTCAGAATTTTCATACTAAGGGTTTAGGTCTTCTTTGTTACTTTCTAAAAATTGATGTAGCTTAATCAAAGTCAGGTATTGTTATCTCTCCACTACTACCAAAAACACATATCACAACAGTTGGAAAGAGGATACCACCACACAGGTCCAACTGTTGTGTTATAAGGTGAGATTGTATGTATGATGATTTCCACCACGACCCTGTAACCGTGATTGTATCCATGTAGCGTGCTACCTACCATAACAATTACTTTAACCAACCGTTGTGATATTGTTTAATGCAACATATTTAATCACGGTTGTTATAAACAACCATGATTAAATATAGACCTGAGTTTATTAAAATTATGTGAAATGCTTATTTTGTCAATGCTCACTAAACATATAACGTTCAAATCTGCACTAGAACATTATAATATGACAAATTAAGTTATATTAGAAGAATAAGTTCATGTTCAATGCTTGAGAAGCTATCTTCAACACCTTATTTGTATTTTGTTCTTTGATCGTAAGAACTTCGTTTAATGACCCTAGTTCTTCAACCATCCATAAATTCACCTCTAATTGTTTTTGTAAAATGTTATTTACTTTGCATACAAAATTAGAAGTGGAGAAAGGGGTGGTGGAAGATTTAGGATCATTAAACAAAGTTCTAACAATCAAAGAATAACACGGAGTTAACAGTGTGAAGAATTCTTGTCAAGAATTGAACGTGTACTTATTTCCTAATACAATTTTATCTATCATATCATAATTTTCTTATAAAATTTAGAAAGTTATATATTCGATAAGGGATTGAAAAAACACTCAAACCAGATAATATATAATAAACTCATCTTTTAAACAAAAAGTAGCAATAACATTCATAAAAAACATTCAATAACAATAAACCATAAATAACAAAAATAATACAACAAACATATCAATTCATAAAATACTTCAAAAACATACCATACATGTCCCATAAAGGTGTATTGTCAATGAAATAAGGATGAAGATAAATTTAGACCATCAAACTTGTGTAGAATTTGAATGGATGTCATTATGGATCTTTGACCCAAGTTTGTAAGGCTAAATTTATCTTCGTCGTCTTTATTGAAAGAAGCATCCATACCTACAAGTCAAAACAAGAAAGAAGTTCAAACATAATGAAACAAGTTACTGAAATAGATTTTGAAAAAAAAAACTATAGAGAAAACGAACATGTAAATATCCATTGGCTAACATTTGTTGTTATGGTTTTGTTTTGGGGTTTCCATATGAGAGAGAATAGTAAGAGAGTTGTTAGGATTCTGTTTTAAGAGAGACGAGTGAAAAAGTTGCTAGGGTTTTGTTTTGAGAGAGACGGTTGTAATGTACTGAAGCGATAGATAACACCGCTTATATATAAATAAAGTATAATCTTTTGTCACGGTTGTTAATAAAAATTGTGGTGATATATAAGGTAAATAACATTTTTATCACGATATATGGCTAATTGTATGTGCTGGGATTCGAACCATTTCACCCCGTGTACCTTTTTACCATGGTTGCTTCATTTGAGTGTTATGCCATGTCCTCTAGTAAATAAAAAAACGCTTAAAAATAAAGTATTACCACAGTTATCTCTATGGTCGTTACGAAAGGTATATTTTGTAGTAGTGTTATCACCACGGTTGTTTATATCAACCGTGATTAAATAACTTTAAAAAAATAAAAAAAATATATCAGACGCATCCAGTTTGCGATATTACAATAGTGGAATGCATAATCGTAGTAGAATTAGTGTTACCGAAGGCGTATTCGTAGTAGTGCTCAAAGTAAGTATGCTCTTGATATTTTGGAAGAAACAAGTCTTACATATTACAAACCAGTTGACACTCATATGGATCCTAATGTAAAGCTTTTTCCTAATCAGGGGGAGCCATATACTGATTCGGGAAGATATCGAAGACTTGTAGGAAAATTGAATTATCTTACCTTAACTATACCTGATATATCTTTTCTAGTCAGTGTAGTAAGTCAGTTCTTAAATTCTCCTTGTGACAACCATTGGAAAGCAGTTATTTGAATCCTTAAGCATATCAAAGGATCACCTGAAAAAGGGCTTGTTTTTTGTGATAGAGACAACACTGATATCATTGGATATTCAGATGCTGATTGGATAGGAGATGCAAGTGATAGACGGTCTACATCGGGTTATTGTGTTTTTATTGGGGGAAATTTAATCTCATGGAAAAGCAAAAAGGAAATGATCGTTACTTGATAAAGTACAGAAGCTGAGTATCGGTCCATGGCTCATGCCACATGTGAGCTCTTGTGGTTAAAGCATTTACTACAGGAACTTCACTTTTGTGAAGTCATCCCTATGGAACTTGTATGTGACAACCAATCAGCTTTGCACCTCTCCTCCAATCCAGTTTTTCATGAAAGGACAAAGCATATAGAAGTCGACTATGACTTTCTTAGAGAGAAGATTATCACTGGGACTATCAAAACCTCATTTGTTAATTCCAAGGATCAACTTGTTGACCGCTTTACAAAATCTCTTCGAAGACTTAGGATTACATACATATGTGATAAGATGGATGCTTATGATGTATACACACCACTTTGAAAGGGAGTGTTGAGATATTATTTTATCATTATTCTGTATCTATTTGGGGAGTATTGAGATATTATTTTATATCTATTGTTTTTATTAGCAGTATCAATTAGAATATTATTGTATTAAATATTTTCTTAATTAATACGATTGGTTAGGAGGATATATATATATATATATATATATATATATATATATATATATATATATATATATATATATATATATATATATATATATATATATATATATATATATATATATATATATATTCTAATTTAGAATATTACTGTATTAAATATTTGCTTAATTAATAGGGTTGGTTAGGAGGCTTTTATAATATATCCACGTAATAATGTAAGAAATTCACATTCAAGAAATTCTTCACAGTTTGATGTACGTAAAAAACAGAAAACAAAGAAAATAGATAAAAAAACAATTTTCAATTCCTATATAATACCACCAACATGATTATTATCCATTTAATATTTCAGTAAATATTTCTAGGACTTTCTTTTGTTTCTTTGTTTCTTTCTGTCTATTTTATAGTTGTTCTTTAGCAGCACAGGTTTGGTATTTATTGTGGCTGCGACTTGTGTTGCTCGATATATTGTTTTGAGTCTTTAGTTCTACTTTCTTTTATAAATAAAGTAAAAGAACTTTAATATAAAGGTAGTTAATTAATAATTAGTTACAATATTTTCTGTCTTGTAATGACAAGCAAAAAAAGGATATTGATACATAAAGTGTAAGTATGCATTGACAACTCTCACAAAATTAAGATAATAATGATGTAAAATAGCTTAAAGCAAAGTAAAGCCACACTATGCATGCAAAAAAAAAGAGAATGTACATTTAAGATTGTTACATAGCCAAGGACACAGTACAAAGTTAAACTTATAATTTGTAACCCAAAAGAAAGAAATAGAAGAAAATTATGAAGTCTAAAGGAGCTAAATCACTCTTCAAGTGAATCTCCATTATCACTTAAAAAAAATCATATAATAATATCAGAAACTTCTAAATTAGCTTATAGTAAGATGAAATGGAAAACTAAGATATAATGATTCCATATCATCTTACTTAAGATACTTCTTTATTTATTGGCTATAATATATGAATATGATGTCACTCTCAAGTTATGAATCAGGAAAGCATCCTAAGATATTATTAACTTGATTTTGAGATTGTAGCTCATTCTGGTTATTGCTATGAGATATCATCAATGGCAAGCTATTTTGATGTGAAAAGTAGTTATCTGTATCTGTAAACTGTGAAGTGAACAAGTTGTCCAAACTTTTCCAATCAATCACTTGTCCATTATTATTGTTATCATTGCTTCTATCTTCACTGCAAAATTCTTCATTTGTGATGAGGCCATTAATGTGATGTTGTTGTTGGCTACATTCTATTGTTGTTGGACTATCTAACTGTGGAAGTTCAATGAGTTGTTGTTTGTTGTCCATAAAAGGAGTGTTTTGGTTTGATAGAAAATGGTGATCATTGCTAAAAGGGTGACTACTAAAACTTGTACCTTCATGCAAAAGATCTGTGATTGATAAAGGTCTTGTTGTTGCATAGGATTGAAGTTGAATATCATTTCTGAAATATTGTGGCTGTTGTTGATTGCTATACCATGGTTCATAACCTGGCCTGTGACTTGGACTTGGCTTTTTAAATGCTCTACACACAACCCACCCTTCTTCCTGCAATAGTTAACAAGTTCAAATTATTTATCAAGAAAGCAAGGTTTTAAATAATGGTCTGGTCGCGTTGCAATCACTTAAAGACTTTTCGCGATTTCGGTTGGTACATGTGTAGCGATACTGATTGCGGTTGGCGCACCACAATTTCTTTTTCATCATAAAGAAAATAATGTTATCGGTACCGACACTTTCTGATATTGTTTTGTCGCATTCGTTTTTATTGTAACAGACCGTTTTTTAAAACTTCGGAAGAAAGTAATAAGAACAAAGAATGCACTTGCCTGTGGAGGGCCATGTTCAGAGGTTTGATGCCTATATTCATGCATAATCCAATCAGTTTTTCTTCCATTAGGGGCACGACCTTTGTAGAAGACAAGTGTTTTCCTCATTCCTATGACTCTATTTTTGGAAGTTACAGCCTTATCTCTTCCAGTTGCTTTCCAGAATCCAGCAGCAGTGGCTCTATTAGTCCTTGTTCCTGTTGGATACTTCTTATCTTTGTGGCTGAAAAAGTACCACTCATTCTGTTGCTCATACCCTAGCTTGCATTTATCTTTACATAGATTTCAACAAACACATCATTAGTTATAATTTACTGTATAATGAGTTAATGACATGACATGACATCATGTTCCATAAGGTTCAGATAATACTTTATTATATATACCTTGTATGTCCCATGGTTCAATTTTGTAGAGATCAACCTCAACAATAACATCTAGATCAATTTTGAGTGAGTTGATTTTCCTGTTGAGGTAATACCCTACAAGTTCCTCTTCTGTTGGATGAAATCTAAATCCTGGAGGTACACTTGATTCCATATCCATTGATGATGATGATCTCTCCTGAAAATTAGTAACCAAAACAAAGATCAATTTTACGATTTATATACATAAGAAATAGTAGTATCAAACAAGGATCAAATTGTTTTTAGCATTAGAATTTGTAATGATAGTTTACAAATACCTCATACCTATAGCTAGGGTTGATGAGATATATAGCTATAATAATGATGATGATGATATAACTTTATTTTTGGACCCAACAAATGTGTGGCATGTGCAATGCCAAAACTGGCAGACCATGTGGGATCCCACCATTATAACACATATAAAACAAATCTATAGGCTTATTACTAATTGATTAGCCCTAAGAAAAGCTCTTTTTTATTTATGCCTTTAGTTGCATGAGATGAAAAAAAGTTTTGGCCGAAAAAATTGACTTTGCTGTCACAAGCATGTCACAATTACAATGTATCTTTGAGTGCAGTGCACTCTCAAGTAACATTTGTTGGTGGTGGAGAATGACCTTCCTGTGGAAAATAATCGTTCATCACACAACACATAGCATAGCATATAGCATGCTAGATAAAGTTCCACTCATCATCAACATAAGGTTCTTTTCACACTAATTTTTCAAGGACATTATACTCATGGATCTTGCACATTTCTTTAATCCATATTTAACTAGAACTATATGTAAATATAAATATTGATTTCATTGATAATTTGAAGATTTTTGAATTGATCATGATGAAAACTAAGACATTTCAGACATGATTTTTATTCAGCAAACTAAGAAATGTGAAAGAAAATAAAGCTATAGCTATGCAGACACATATAATTATACTCACAGAAATTTGAGTTGATGTCATGTTCTTGTTGAGGATGATACAGGCACTGGAGAGAATAGAGAGGTAAGAGAGAGAAGGAGAGAGAGAAGGAGAGAGAGATGTGTTTATGAAAGTAATAAGGTGGTGAATATTTGTGTTTAAAGAGAGGAGAGTTATGTGTGTATATATATGTGTATTATAGGAAAAGCATGTGTGAGAGAATGTTGCAGATAAAAGAAGCAGAAGAATAATATATATATAGATATAGAAAAGAATAAACATATATATATAGATGATTGCGCGTGGGGTGGCAGATAGATAGATGAAAAGGTTTATGTTTGGACGGCGTGACACCGAGCTTTCACGCCACCCCCCTCTTCCACCGCTATATTCTACCCTAATGCACACTTTTACTCTATTTTTCGGTCTATAGTGCACACTTTTTTTTATAAACACTGCTAATACTGTACATTTGTCTTTGTTTTAATTAGCTTAATTATGAGTTAATGTGGATTAGTAATTGTTTTAATTAGTTACTAGCTAACATTAAGACAATTGTTTAAGAGGTTTTAGTCATCGATTAACATGACCTTACTTATTTAAACGTGCGATTAGAAAGATTAAAGATTAGAAAGAATGAAGAGTTTTGAATATGCGTTTTTAGATATGTTCGCTTGACGATTAAGTATTAAATATTTTCGATTATTAGTTTAGTATAGAATGAGTTCATGTTCATGCTCTATGTTTTGTCGTTTTTCTCTTTGGATGAGAGTAAGATCCATTCAATTGGATAGGTGTTTAGGGGTGTGTTGGATGATCAATTGTTCTCCTTTTTTACGTAGAACAAATTACTTTTTAATCGATCCTAATGAACATGTTTGACCTTTATTTTCCATAGTATAACCTTGTTCCAGACAAGTATACCATTCTATATTTCTCTAATCAACCGAATTAGTTCATGAACATGCATTTATGTCACATATAAATACATTCTTCTTTAGTTCCTGAATTGAGAATAAATGTCTGTTTGGTGTGCCGTCCTATTTGGCTTGGCACCATTCATATTTTTACACCTGGAAAGAATTACAACCTTTCTCAATCTGTCAACATCAAACTGTTTTCATTTTCATGTGCTTGACCACCATATTGTTTCTTTATGTGGTTTTTGTTCATTTAGCATTGATTATTAGGAGTTAATTTAGTATTAACATCCTAAATAGTAGTATTGTACTCTATATATTAGCTTACAAATAATATTAAATAAAAATTGTTCAATTTCTTTTATATATGGAATTCATTGATGTCTATAGACAAAAATAGATGAAACAAATTTGACAGTTGAAAGCCACTAGACCACCTGTTTCTGTTAACAAAGTTCCAGCTACATGACTTGATTATTCAGAAAGAATGTACATTTTCATATATTATCCTTAGCAAAAGTAATACTAGTATATACTATATAAGTATTTGATGCAGGTTTCTTTGAGAACAATGCACCCTTTTCTAATATATTATTAAAAAAATAGTACTAAAGACAAGAGTATTTTATACTTGTATCAAAAAGGTCATTTTGGGATTTGTGTGAAGTGGGTATATATATGCATAAATAATATAACGGATATGTAAGTTAATTTGTTTTTATATGCGTCACATAAAGCCTAGATAAGTTAGATTACCAACTATGGTACTTTTCAATGGTTTGTTGTCTTATTCAGATTGGGTTCATTAATATAATAGAAAATCTAGTACATAACTCCTAATTTTATTTCTTGTATTAAAAGAAATTATATATTATAAAAAGAGTAGTGATCAAACAAGCCAAAAGCTTACACTATACATCTATATGTTTGTATAACAGGTAAAAATAAAAAGACCATATTATATATACCTCAAAAATTCAACCCAAATATTATCGGTATCGGCTATAGGTTGATTACTGCATAAGATTAATTATTGTTTATAGTATATAAACTATAATGTGTGCAACTAACACTACAAAAAAAACTGCATATAATTAGGGGTTTAACCCTTCACTAAAGTAAAAAAACTCATCACAAAACATCAATTTGCGAGAGAATATACCACTTTTTGTTCATTAATTAATTAGACGTAGAGACTCTCAAATCAACTTTGTTCATCGAGAGGGGAAAGAGTAATAGGACGATCTTAGGGTTCCAAGAGCACGGAAAGGTGGATGGAACTCCTAACGCAACATTTGCGCTAATCATTCCAGCTACCATATCTAATCATTCTATCTCAATGATCCTCATTGATGACAAAAATTCGTGCAATTTGATATACCTCAAAGTTATCACATAGCTAGGCTTGAGCAGGCAAGATCTGATTAGTGCAAAGTCTAAAGCCTCCTAACATTTAGTGATTCCACGACCCATCCATGTGGACATGTAGATTTACCACTTTCCTGGCGAGAAGGGGGAACTTTGTGAACGTCCGCTTCTTTGTGATTTTTTGTGGAGGAATTTACAATCGCGTTCTGAGAAGGTCACTCCTAACAACTTTAGACGCGGTGACTTCCCCCATCCACTTGAAGACGGAGTATCACAATGATTTCGACAAGCCAGTTATAATCGCATCCACCTACGTGGGACACAATAGATAGATGAAGCAACACTGGAGAATTCCCTATCAATGTTCTTCGTCCCTGAGAAGAGAATGAATGAGGCACATGAAGCAACCACCATAGTTGACCATCGAGTACGCAAGGAGGAAACCCTGCAGGACGACGATCTTGGTCCCTAGACCATGATCAAAATGAAGGTCTTAAGGTCAGTTCCAAATGGAGAATTTGAATTTATCTAGTTAGATGATAACCCGACGCGGTTGGTGAAATAGGGGCCGACCTACCTACTAGGTGAAGAAATGACTGATGAATGCTTAAAGGTTAATGTGAATCTCTTCGTTGCCTCTCCCCATGAGATGTCAAACATAGAATCTAGTGTAACATGACATCAGTTGAACATCGATCTTCGTGCTCGGTACATGTCATAGAGAAGAAGGCAACAATATCCTAACAAGGTCGAGGTGACCAGAAGACGGTTCAGGGTTTGTTGTAGTTAAATTTATTTCTAAAGTAAAATACACCGAATGGATATCCAATATGGTGTTGGTCAAGAAAGATTTCGGGAAATAGAGAATGTGAGTCGATGACACCAACCTCAATTAAGCTTGTCCCAAAGATTCATACCTGCTCGCAAGCATAGACAAATTGGTGGACAACTCAGTCCTATACAAGCTTTTATTGTTTATAGATGCGTATTTTGGCTGCAATGAAATACCCATGTATGTGCTAGATAGATTAAAAATGACCTTCAAGACCGAGAAAGCCAACTACCAATATAATGTATTACCTTTTGGATTGACAATGTATGGTAAACATATCACATGACGATGAATAAGGTTTTCAAGGAAGAAATAGGTGAAACATTAGATGTATATATGGATGACATGGTTGTTAAGTCCTGCAAGTTACAAGAACGAATTACACTATAAGATTCTCGACTGTGCACTCCAAAGAGTCTAGTAGTATAATATGAGGCTTACTCTAGTAAAATGTACCTTTCGAGAATGGGATGGTAAGTTTCTAGGCCTTTATCTAACGGAAAGAGGAAAAATGTGAGGCGGATATCCAAACTGCGACACTAACAACTAAAAAGGAAGTGATGAACTTGAATGAGATGCTGATGACCTTAAATATGTTCATCTCAAAATCGGACCAACATGCTTTGACGTGCAATAAAGTATTGAAGGAAGAATCATGTCTTTGAGTGGATCATAGAATGTTAACAAGCGTTTGCATCCTTGAAGATGTTATTATCAACTCCACTAATACTATCTAGGCATCATGTCAAGGAAGTTTTGTACCTCTACTTAGTCGTGTCTGATGAAGCGATTAATGTCTTCCTTGTAAGAGAGTTGAATTTAACTCAAAGTTCATTATATTTCATCTCCAAATCCTTGATCGGACTAGAGGCAAATTATCAAAATATAGAGTATGGGGCATTGGCATTAGTAACTACATCTAGAAAGCTACAATGTTACTTCCTAACCTACACCATATTTATCCAAACCGACTTACAATTGAAGCAAGTGCTTGACCATCTGGATCTAACAGGGAGACTAACAAAATGGTCCATCAAGATGTTTGAATTTTTTTTCATTTGAATCAAGAAAAGAACTGAATTCATAATTTTTTGCAGACTTCATAATAGAGTTGACCTGAAGAACGCTAGAACCAGCTCATACCTTAATAGTGTGTACAGACAGGTCATCTAATAGTTGAGGAATTGATCTGACTTAATCTTAGAGAACAAATCTTGCTTGATAATCAAAGTAACACTCTGTTTTGAGTTTTTTTCCACCAATAATGAAATTTTATTTCTCAGTGGACAGATGTTAAGCAAGATGTCCTAGACAACTGGTTCAAAAAGTTAAACTAGAAACACCAGAACAACATGTACTAGATGATGGAACAAAAAAGAAGTAAATAAAACGATAATTATTTACCTAGTTTAGTGAAACCACACCTACGTGTGGGGGGTTGTGTCCATAACCCAAGAATGCAAATTCAAAATTAATAGTTTAGTACAATTAGTTTTACAAGCAACAACAAACCCTATGTTTCTCAATGCCTCTTCCTAACACTACCCAATAACTTTCTATTTAGGGCTACCCCTAAACATGAGAACTTACTCACTTTCTTCTCAATCACACAACCCGTGATTGGAGATTACAACTCCATAATCAATGTTGAACACTACCACTCAACTCTAGACAACCCAATTGTGCCAAGTTACTGAAACATAATGGTGGACATATAACAATAATAAAGACTCAAACTAAACCCTAGCACTCTAAAATCCTCAATGTATTGTTTTACTTCCAATGTAGATTTTGAGCTCCTTATATAGCATAATAACTATGGGCTTTTCTCCTTGGATAATAACTTTAATTTCGTCTAGAATTAATGTAGGATATGTTGGATATTATTTGTTCCATAAATATCTCATACAAGATATGATTTG